AGAAAATTCGGGATTAGTAAATACAAATTTTACTCCACGGTTCAAAGTAAGTCCACATTACTGTATCAACATATTTGTAGGTGCTTTGTGTTCACACTTCCGGAGTGCGACCTGTTCGGAAACGGAGATCACGCACGCCATGGCTACAGCAAGCCAGGCCTTCTTGCATGACGCAAGAGATAAAGTACATAAACGTGGATGGCGATCCAAAGAAAGGGTGAGCTAAAACTACTTAATTTGTTTGTTATAATACATATGTTAACTTTGTCACACATTGTTCCTACTGTTTTGTATATTGTTTAATACCACTTAATAAAATGAAGTGTTCAGTTGTATTCCCAATAACTGAGGTTCACTTTGGGGTTTTCCCCAAAATTCACAGGATGTTAATTATCATTATATTTATCACTATAATCACTGTACTTTAATTACTGTAACAGCTTATGACTTTGTGATCAATACTCAAAGTAATATAACTTGTCTCTTGTATGTTTCCCTTTCAGCTGGCTTCGCAGGCTTTATCAGACGTAACTGTAAGTTCTTTGTTCGCATTATTAAGAACATTGTTATACTGTTGGTACATCACCAAACTTTCACATATCTTGACACGTTATTATACACTAAAAATGATTTATTTATTTATTTTTTAGAACATTATCAATGACAGTTCTACGTCTACGTAAGGTGTTGCTGTTACAACGCAATGAAAAACTTTGTATAAATGATTCATTTGTAATTTTATTAACTGTAATAAACATTTATATATTTCATAAATCAGTCTTTTGATAATCGCGACATATCGGTTAACATTAGGTTTCATTAGCAATGCGCGATTGACGAAAAGTAAGAAAACGTCGCAGTAAGAAATGTACGTAAGCATACTCCTAGGTCTTCCGTGATGTCGATAGGCTTTCGAGAAGCTTTTGCGTCAAAACAGTTTTCCAGGAAAACCCAAAGGTTTGGGGAAGCTTCCTCAAAATGATATAACTATCGTGTCCGTTCCCCTTTCACCCGGCTTCGCAGGCTTTAACAGACGTCACCATAGTGTATTTGTGCTTTTGTATATTGTTTTATACTACTTACAAGAATTCAGTAGTCAGTTGCATTACCAATAACTTCAGTTAACTTTGGGGATTTCCCCAAACTTCCCCAGGTCTGGGGAAATTTTGGGTTTTTTTTCTCATTTCCCCAAAATTTATTATAGCGGCTTCCCCAAAATGGACTCAATTTTCCCCAAAGTTGGAAGCCTGGGTAGGGTTGTAGCCTGTAAGTAGACACATCTTCTCTAAAATCCGATGTAAACCGATCGCATGTTAGCACCCTAATCCTAACCTAACCCTAACCTTAACCCTAATCTAACCCTAACCAAACCTAACCCTAACCCCAAACCCTAATCTAACCCAAAAACCCTAACCTTAGCCCTAAACCCTAATCTAACCCTAACCTTAACCTAACCCTAAATCCTAATCTAACCCTAACCTTAACCCTAACCAAACCTAACTCTAACCCCAAACCCTAATCTAACCCAAAAACCCTAACCTTAGCCCTAAACCCTAATCTAAACCTAACCTTAACCTAACAGTTAACCCTAATTTTAACCCCAAACCCTAACCCTATGGACGAGTCTCTATACAATATGCATTATGAATTCAGAACTTCTGAAACTTTATCAAACCTTAACAAGTTTTTAAATCATGTAAAAGAATATCCACTGTAATTCATTACTTTCTTGTAATATCCCAGGCTCCCAACTTTGGGGAAAATTGAGTCCATTTTGGGGAAGCCGCTATAATAAATTTTGGGGAAATGAGAAAAAAACCCAAAATTTCCCCAGACCTGGGTAAGTTTGGGGAAATTTTGGGTGACTTTGGGGAAATTTTGGGTAACTTTGGGGAAATCCCCAAAGTGAACTTCAGTTATTGGGAATACAACTGAATACTTCATTTTATTAAGTGGTATTAAACAATATACAAAACAGTAGGAAGGGGAACGAGTAGGAACAATGTGTGACAAAGTTAACATATGTATTATAACAAACAAATTAAGTAGTTTTAGCTCACCCTTTATTTGGATCGCCATCCACGTTTATGTACTTTATCTCTTGCGTCATGCAAGAAGGCCTGGCTTGCTGTAGCCATGGCGTGCGTGATCTCCGTTTCCGAACAGGTCGCACTCCGGAAGTGTGAACACAAAGCACCTACAAATATGTTGATACAGTAATGTGGACTTACTTTGAACCGTGGAGTAAAATTTGTATTTACTAATCCCGAATTTTCTTCTGGTTCCGTGCAAGGTGTACGTGTTTGCCAGTTCCGGAGAAAGGAGGTATTTCAGACAGGCTTTTGCTGATTTCCGAAGATCATCACATAGTAGATGGTATAATCATCCCATCTAAAATTTCTTCAAACACCGATTACAACTTACGAAATGATCCCGGAATTTTTTGTTCTCTAAAGCTGTCTCTAAAGAACGCAACTCGTCATGCGTTCGTAATGGGAAAGTGATTGCATCACTATCCATTTCCTCTGTACGCCCGTGAGTTACACCCATGGCTAAGCGTTCATACAAAAATAGCATTTTGTCTATTTTCGCAGACAGCTCATTGACCGATTTCAGGAGCGTTCTTAACAGTTTGTTTGTATCATCGCACAAACTTTCGTTATCAGGAATAAAGTAAATGCAACTTACGGTTTATCACCTTCAGTCGACGTACGTAGAATTGGTGGTGATGAAAGGTTAGCTTTCGATGAACTAATCTATGAGTATTGATAAAGTAGGTACAAACCTCGCAATCGGAGAAAACGTTCCTGTTGAAATGTTGACAACTGGAAATTCCACCGGGGCAAATCCAGCCTCAACCTCAGCAACCTCTACTTCTTCCGAGGTGCATAGATAATCATTAAGCTTTCGGTTGACAGTTCTAACACAAATGATATAAGAAGTTGAACAATTTACCTTTTTGGTTTTTTAGCGTCACAAGGCTGCGTTTCATCGTTAGTTGCGATGTTAGTATTGTAGCCCAGTACTGTTGCTAAACACACTTTTAATCCCTGGGCTACATTGTAGTCGTCTGAAAACAATAAATGTTAATTGATTACAACTTACCACAACGATGCATAACGACACATTTTCTCACGTTGAATCGACTGTCAACATCAACACCCTCAACAATTTCGTGCTCACTGATATCATCACGATAAAGGTAATGATTGTTGGTCAGGAGCCATTTGTTCGGAATACAGACCACTTGCTTGTTTTCCTTATCGTCAACTAAGATGTACTTTCCACTTTGATGCTGTAAATGAATGCGCAGGCGTGAAAAATTGTACATATATTGCATTGATGAAAATGCAGTAACACTTCCTGATGGAGGACGCAAAATCACTAACCAACAGACTGTTACTGGCTAAAGTGCTATATTTGCAACAGTCCTTGAGAAATGATGTCACATCTACTACTAGAATGTATGTAAAAGAGGGATAATGACCTCATAATGTTGTGTGCGCAAGCACATGCACTTACGAAGTATGTCTGTTAGTGTTATCCACGTGCATTCGTGGCTTAAGGTAGAACACTTAAACATACCAATATTACTGGAGGGAAAAGGGTCAGTATATAAATCAGAAGGACTATGAAATGGCCGGAACCTAATAAGACCTCCATCACGGATTTCTGTTACGAACCCTGGTCTACCTTTGGCAATAACTACATTGTCCGGCCTTGAAGTAGATAGCTTTGAGTTCCTGTAACTGACCATTTGCTTGGAAGAATTATCAGTTACCTCACGTTCAGTGACATTGTCAGCCATATCCTGATTCAGTATACTTTGAAAGTAACCTTCTTCGGCATATCGCTGTGCGGCTTGTTTAGCCACGGCGAATCCACAGTGTACTGAACGCCTAATTTTTCTCGTGTAGGACTCAAAAGGAAATGCTGCGAACGATTCTAAAGTACCATGTTCCATAACGTCGTCTGCAATGTGCTTTAAACTATGCACATTGTAGATTAAGTGTTCGGTACCGTAACACCTTTCGTAACCTAATAAAAAGTTATTAATGTAAACCCTAACACTGTTAGCGAATATGCTATGAAACTTAGGGTGCGATAATAAATAAATAGACAAGGAGAGTGACTGGAAGTTTCTGTACATTGATAATGGTAACCTATTATGAAGAACTACAGGTCCTAAGTATAATAAGAACAACCGACATTCAGTTGCTTTCCATACAGAAACTTCATTAAGTGAACATTTCCGTTGAATATCGCATGTCGTGTGTTGTCTACATAAGTCTAGTGCATCATTTATTGATGCGATAATTGATTGATCCATCCTATTAAGTCGCTTAATAGCTAGCTCCTTCCATAATGAAACAATTTTTTTGGTAACACCTAAATATATCATATGCATGGGTTCACAAGGGAAACATTTAATCATATCCACTGGCAGATTTTCAAATGAACTTGTGCCACGATGATGGATAGATTGGGACCTACAACGAAAAGTGACATCACTTCTTAAGTCGTGTTCACCATTGGGGAAAGTCATTCGACCACCCATTCGCGTCCCTAAGACCTGACATTTGTCACAGCCAGCGATACCATTGTGTCCCACAATGTACTTGACGTTGCTGCGAGCTGGAGCGTCACAAATAACAGCAACTAATTTAACTGTTAAATGTGGGTGATACTTATCTACATTAATACCTACTGTCAGCAACTCCTGTAACTCTGTTATAAGTGTTGCTGACATGTTGTTGAAATCAGATGGTTTTACTTCACCACCGTAGATCCCAACTACGAAAACACTACTAACTAGTGGAGCTACTATACGACCTAGGATCGGCCACAGCTGTTGGTTAGAGCTTTTGAACAAACTTAAACCATCGTAGTTTAACTGCAACTGCAATTCGTTGAAACGGATTCGACGAAGCCAATGTCCTGAAATTCTCAAAAGACTGGATTTCAATCCTAAATGGTAATACGTTCCAGAATCTAGGATCTTAGGCTCCATGTCGTTGCATCGACGTAGAACACTTCGGACGGACGTTGGAAGTTCTGGATACCGCGCACGAAAAATGTCCAGTATTTGATCAGCCTTCTTGATGCTTATATAACCACCTTTCATCATTTCAATGACCATTTTGTCTAACTCGTCTTTCACCGAAAGATGAATGGTTGGGGACATTTCTGAAATCACACAACGTATAAAATTTTAATAATTAAACAGATTATACCGTTGATTGTGTTGTCTGAACACTGGACGTGACTACATGAAGCAGTAGCTGTATCTGTGACAATATTAGCCCACTGCTCTGTAGCTACGGTAATACGCGATTCTGTGACGACAACTGGATTGTCTGTCTCTTCGTCACAGCTCGGTAACTGACACTTCTTTATAAACTGTGCTTTCATTTTCCTCAACCTTCTGTAATAGGTTGATCGGGAACAGCCAAACAACCTAGGGTATTTAGTGTCTGCTGCCCGCCTTTTCGCAATCTTATCGAACTGTCTATTATTATTCTGAAAGAAATAATTCACTTAAGTGAAACTGAACATAGACAGCAACCAAATTTCCCGACCTGCACTGCAAACAACTCACCTCCATAGCTTTCAAATTTCGAAAAAGTGCTTTACAACCGACAACTCTTTGTCTACTTATTGTTGATGTATTAAAACAAGACCTGGAATTCCAAAGATTATCCCTCATCAAAAGTCTGTATTGAATTAAAATGTAAATTTCTCTATTCAAATTTACTACTGTGAGGCTTATTTATATTATGTCGATGAAATGTTAATGTGCAAAAATGCGCTACGGCAATTTTGGGGATTTCCCCTAAATTTCCCCAAAGTTTGGGGAAAACTATTTCATTTTGGGGATTTACCCAAACTTTGGGGAAGGCTATTTCACTTTGGGGATTTCCCCAAAATTTCCCCAAAGCTGGCAGCTTGGGATATTTCTACTTTATACTGTCTTCTGACTGAGTATTAATTGAAATTGCTCAAACGCTTCTCATTGGCTCGTCCCTAAATTAGAGTCTCGCCACCAACTTAAGCTGTCGATAGAATACAAACTAAGTAAATAGGATTTACATTCCATCAGCTCGATATCGATCTTTTAATACCTAGTCAGCACCGGTTGATGATTTTTTAAGTAAAATGCAATCCTGATCAAGGAGATTCGGAGACCTTATATAAGATGACTTCAATGCACCCTATTCACAGAGAACTGAATTCATTCTGTTGCGGATTTCTACAAAGTAAAACTGCGTTAGATGTGGTTCAGGATATTAGAGATTCCCCTAGGTATAACCTACAGTACTCCTGTTTTGTTCAAGCCTATTCTATGGTAGGCAGACATAAAGATTAACTCTGCGACCTAGATTGAAGACCAGAAAATTGGCTCGGATAGACCAGTGAAGGTCATAGAGTCACAAGTATCACTACAGATTATGTTCTGAACAGCGACAAAGAAGATAGACAATTATCTTGAATAAACCAAGGCAATTCAATGGTCAGCAAGGCGAAATTTTAAAAAGGCGTGTATGTTGAAATCAATCTTGGCACAGAAAATGCTATGTAAAATTACAAGTCGACCCAGAATATATGTATAAACATATCCCATGTATCACAGAGCGCGTGCAAAAATCAACTGCATAACTAGCAATCGAACAGCTGAAGCGAGTGTTCTCATATTAATTACAGGATGAGAGTGGAATCGTGGATTCACAATTTATTTACTAATGGGAATGGATCTTACATGAAAAATGAAGACTGGAATTGAGCAGAAGCCATAAGTGATTATTTCGAGCCTCACATCTACTCAGGTCTTACTCCAAAAGCATTTTCACCAAATCGACTACCCAGTGAAGACTGCGGTCATTCGAAATACAGATGTCAACAGGATCGAAAACGTACTGGGATACGTATTGCTACTCAGGTCAATATGAAATTTGACATCCTACTAAACTAGTGTGAGTTACCCATAGACAGTAAGGATGGGACTGGTAATTTAACTCACAATGCATAATCAAAACAACGTTCACCAAACATCAAATCTTTTTTAGAATAACGTAGCCAAATCGTTCGCTTTGGATCTTGCTACTCTAAACCTGTAACCAGTGGGGTTATACAAGGAAGTAGGGTTGGCCCATTACTCTTTCTCCTTTTTATCAACGAAGTGTGTTCCCTCTTTCAGTATGGTAAGCCTTTCCTTTTTGCTGGTGACCTGAATGTAGTTTACTCATTCTCTTCTCCCACGAAAGAAAGCTATATTTCAGCGGTAATCCAAGAGGAAATAAACAAGTTGTACGAATGGACTATTTCGTGGAATATGCCACTTAATGTTGACAAAAGTGGATTTATTCACATTGGTCGCTGCCTTAACTTAAATTTGACTGTACAGACTCAAACCTCTCAATACTGTTCGTGACCTGGGTTTGAGATATAGCAACAGTCTGAACTTTTCTGAGCACATTATATCTCAAGTATCCAAAGCTAGAAAGCTCATCGGATTGATAATGATAAACCTCAATAATATCGAATCGAGATTGTTATTATTATACAGAAAATGTATCTTACCCATTCTTGAATATGGTATTTTAGTTTACAGTAATTGCAGACATAATGACCTGATTAAAATTGAAGGTGTTCAAAGAAAGTTCACCAAAGCTGTTCTGGTGTATTCCGATAACAAAGACTATCACCAAAGATGTCAACAACTCAACTTAGAACCTCTTTGGATCAGACGTATCAAATTAAATCTTGCCTTTATCTACCGGCTTATTAACGGTGTTTCCTACTCTTCGGTATCCACCCCTTCATACCTTATGATATCATCCCACAATCTACGCAATAAGGACAATATTCTAGCGATTCCAAGAAGCCACACAAACCTACGTCAGAAGTTTTTCCTTATTCGCTACTCAACCATGTGGAACAGACTGCCAGTAAACCTCCGTTGCAGTGAAACTATAACCCAGTTCAAAAGTCTCCTTGATGATTTTCTTTCCGAAAGTGGATTATGTCACCTATTGAATATCAATGTCTTTAATAATGATTTATACAAACAAGGTCCGTCATCCATTTAATTGCCTGAAAAGCAAAATAAAACCTTTAAATCTTTTCACGTCTATTTTATTTCTATTTATCTTAATATATGAAATCTGCTTATGTTCGTGTTTATCATTATTACCGTTAATAATATCATTATTAGTTCCCCGACACATTAGATATTCTTTTTATCTCTTCTTATCCTTCTAAACATATTTAACTCCAGATTGTCCTTTGAAATCAATTTTGACTTTCATAGCATCATTCTTAATTATTATTGCACAAATATTTATACTAATATCCGGTTTCACTCTGTATACTATTACATAAGTCTGCATCAATTTATTCGAGTGCACGAAAAGATTTTTATTTTATTTTTCTAAATTGTTGGTTTACTCTAGAGGTTGATATTCCCTATACAATTACTATTATTATCATGGTTGAACTTTTTCACTAGGTGTTCACTTTTTCTCTCTCTTTTTTCCTTCTAAATAAATATTATTCATCAGATTACGAAGTCTTTTATTAAAATAATAACTTCTCAGACTCGTTTTATCTTCATTATGCATATATAACCCATACATATTAATATGTCATTATCATTTTCACTTAATTGAGACTTTTATAGCATCACTCTAACCTATGACTGCACAAACATTTATTCTAGTGTCATATCTTACTGCAATTATAAGTTATTTTTCCTTAATTATTTTCTGTTACTAATTTGACGATATATACATAGTCGTTTGTTCTTGTTTTATGTTCATAAACACGCCAATTAAACTGTTTGCGTATTTCACGTCTCCTTTATCTCTATTCCTTTATTTTCTCCATCTCCTACTTTAAACTCAATTTAATATTCTTCTCAATTACACAGAGCCGATTTATTATTATTAATATTCTACTATTACTCTAATTTTTTAAAATATGGCAAGTATAATGCTAATATTATTGAAAATTGTGTATTATTGCATTTTCTGAAGAAACCCGAAATGGTTTCTTCACAACACTTATGTACCCACAAGATTTTTGTGAATAATATTAATAATAACACTTGATAAAGTAGTACATAATAGACGGGTACTGAAACTAGACAATCTAGGAATTACTGAGCTACTGCTAGTGTGAATGATAGACTATTCTACGCTGCCGAGAAAAATAAGTATAAATTCTAATTATTCTTTATGGAAACTAATATTTGTGGAGTACAATAAGACTCCACCATAGGTCCTTTACTCTGTCCATTCAATGTAAAGGGACTTCCGCCTAAAAAATCACAGTTCTTCTCTCTTTCTCATCATGGATTCGAAAGTAATCTCGTTTGATATCTAAATTGTTAAGTTGTGGTTTTAGATGTTCGCATATAGCCAGAAGGTACTTTATGTACCGCGGGAGCAGGCTGAGGGCTGAAAAAGCAACGAACAAAACAAAAGGTGAGTCGACGACCCAGCACGCGCGAACAATGCACTTACATTAACTGCGGAAATCAACAGATAGACGACAGCATTAACACAAGCTTCAGATTAGGATAATCTTGGAAAAGAAACTACAAGCAGATGGCTTAAACCACCACAGTGATTGCTTCTGAAGATAATCGCTCTCCTTCTTCAACATAGTTTAGTAAAACTCAGAGGGAATAGTGAGTGGGTTCAAATGCCAAGATCGTTTAAAATAGCCGAAGAAAAAAATTTTTAATGATGAGTAACCAAGTCTTGGAGTCTACTTTCGGAAGAAATTGTGTTCCCCACTTCGATCGGCTTATTGGTGAGATTAGAAATACATAGAAGCTTACTAAAAATCAACTAACACGGTTTGTCGTCTTTCTATCACAAAATGCACTACCAAAATCTGATAGTAAGAGAGGAACTTAACCTGTCGTGACTGAGAAGAAGAATCTAATATCATCAAATATTATTGTGAGCAAATTACTGGAGTCAAACGACCCAGATCCCAAAATTAGATATGCGCATGATTTAGAGAAGCTGGGAAAATATATTCGTAGTATCTTACCAGATAACTCTAAAGGAGTTCGGGCCAAAAATCTGGTTAGAATAGGCAAGAGGACCAAGGAAAATGTTGAACCCCGACCATGCAGACTCCTCAAGGTAATCCTAGGATCACAGAGGTAATGGGGTCTCCTGTTAAGTGGCGCTAGTTGTCACGACAATTCCGACATCCGAGTTAGACCTGATATGTCTCTCGAGGATAGAATAAAAAGGAAGAAAGCATTACCTGAACTAGAAACTCGTCGGCAAAACGGTGAGGAAAATCTCCGGTTAGTGGGTTTTCGGATAGTCAGGTCTTGGAAGCAAATGCTACCAAGGTATGTGTGGACAGGCCGTTCTACTTAGGAGTTTTATATG